TATATTAGAAGAAAAACTTTCAATAATTGCTTTTCCTAATTATTTCTACACTTTCTGTTTGCAGCACCACCGCCACCAGAGGGACCCCTTGTTAGGATTTATTGTCAGGCAGGACCTAATTATTCTGTAAGTGTGAGAAATAACAGAGTGGTCCTTGCTTCAGCTAATCCATCAGACAAGTGCCAGGTACTTCCATTCACATCTCTATCGGGGGTTAATGTCTTTTTTCTTTTTTCTTTTTTTTTTTTTTTATTGTCAATGCATTTGATACATTGTTTGGGCCCGGCCATATTGCAGCAATGGCACAAGGTGGAGTCAAGCACCCAGGGCAAGAAAAGTTGTGGCTTTGCGTTGGTTAATTGTGCCACTGGCCAAGCCATCAAGCATCCTGCCGCCAATCGACCTGTAAGAATAATATGATGTCTTTATAGATTTTCACATTGCATACTTCAAGTAATAGAGCAGGTGGCAAAGTTGGGTTTAATGTAAGGTTCAAAGTTCAATCTGGCGTTATTCATAGTTGCGCTATAATTTCAATAAAAAAAAAATTCTCATTGTATATATTTATTTCTCCGAAAAGAGTTTTCCCTTTTAGATGGAACGGATTACTTACTCAAAAGAATTATTATTTTTTTAGGTGGCACTGATTACTTACACAGGCAATATTAATGACAACTCTTTGTTATGGACTGAGTGGAACGTGGGTGATGGAGATTGTTACAAATCTATAAGAATGGTTAATAACACTAACCTGTGTTGGGATATTTATGGTGCCAATGTAAAGGATGGTGAGCCTATTGGAGTCGATTATTGGTTTGGAAGCAGTATCGAACGTTGGATCATTGCCCCAATTTGTGAGTTTACGTTTCTCGCTTTTTTTTTTTCAAAAGATAACATTAGCACTCCTAACTTTTAACAACAATTGCATTGTTGATTGTTACTATTATTTTGTTTGTCAATTTGCAGCATGCGGATGCGCATGACAACTTTGTGTGTAACATCTGCTCCACCTACGGGTGACCAATAAAAAGGACTGTGCGTGACAAGTAT